GACGAAGCCAGCAGTCATGTACTTCACAGAGAGAAGCTGCCTGAGGTCTTTGAAATTCACATCGCGGCTCGGGGTTCTTTCTGTTTATGATTGGGCATGTGTTGGCCATTCCCAGCCCTGCGGTCCATGTCCAGTTTACTGCAGCACATTCTCTCCGCTGACGACATACTTTTCGGGCATTGTCTTTCTGATCTGTCTAAAATGAGCAACGCGCTGCACAGAGACGCTTAGGCGGTAGGCCTGAGACCACGGTTCTAAGTATGCTACCGAAGTATTGCGGTGCGGTGGCATGTTAGTCTTCTACCAAACTCTTGAAACCAGCAAGAATTTAACATATGTACCTTGGCATCAAAGTGGCCTCCAGTAGCGGCACTGACACGTTATGGCGAAACCACAATCTGAGTTTGAACTTAATTATTACGCTTTTCAAATCCAATGCGCTCTCAATACTGCCTTTTGACCTAGAACAAACTCAAATGAAAAGTTTTTCAAAAAGCTAAGCCTTTACGTAAAGGACACGGTAGTATTGAAAAGAAGACTTTGGAGTGGAGAATCCCCTGATCGACAGAAGCAGGCCTTGCGGCAGACACCGTGGAACATAGAGAAGAACAGTCAATCCATAGGCGAAGCTACTCAGGTTAAGCTGGAAGGAGCTCAAAGCGAAGGCTAGAAACAGAACGCACAGGCGTCATGTATGCGCTATGCCAGGCTTCGGATTAAAAAAAAAGAAACGAATAAAAATTATAAATTTAAAAGGAATATCCTTAATTTCTTCGTAAGTCTTGTCTATTCATCCAGGAACTTTTCATAGATAAAATATTTAAATTTTTATTTCGACATATACATATGTATGTATGTATGCGTAGATCATATTTCTCTATGGGTATAGCCATTACAAATGGGTTGTAGACCAAACAAGAACTCATAGTTCAAAATTTCATCGAAATTTAGCTAGGTGTTTGAGTACTGCATTGTAAATTTACAACCAGGTGCATATGTATATTTACCTAGTTATGTATATCGTGAAATCATTACTTGTAAAGATGCCTATGCCCACGCTCTACTCTACATCACTTTAGAGGTTTAGTATGCGCTTGCCAACAAATATATTAGCTTCAAAAACTATTGATATACCAAAATTAATGGCACACTAAGTTTGGTATGAGTAAGTCATAAAAAAGTTTAGTTGGCGTGCTAATAAAAGAAAACATACTTATTTATGATGGACATATTAAACTAAAAATTGATTTTTAAAATAGCTCTCAAATGAAGCGTATCACTTCATTATAGCGAGAACAAAAATACAAAATTTTCCTCAACTATTTCACTCCAAATAAGGCAGAACGTTAAATATTTTAAAAATATGCAATCAAAAAGCCGAAGTTTCTATCAATTAAAAATTTTGTATATATCTATGAATGCTCATATAAATCACGTATGCATACCAATTTTTGATAGTCAAGTTTGTGCCTTAAGTCTTTCATTTAATGAGCAGAGCCAATTGCTTTATACTACATATGTACATAACCTGGAAACATAAAATGATTAATTTATTCATTAGCTAATAATATAATTTCAAGTAATTAAAAACGCCGCCGGCCAAATTTTCATATGCAAAGCAGAATTGATAACGACAATTTTTTTTTTTTTTTTTAATTTTATGATGAAAATAATTGCTCACATAATGAGAGTATTGACCTTAGCGAGGTGTGAAGAAAAATCAATTGAATAAATTGTGTGAAGGAAGTATCTATCTACGATAAAGTCAAGGTGCACCAATTAATGAAATGTTAATTTTATTATAAAAAATGTTATAAGAAATATGTACTGCTAGTGCTTTAGGCCTCGTTCCAAAAAATTGCAAAGGCGCGTGGAAGAATGATGACACGGCTTTTATTCTCAGTAGAACAAGTAATTAGTTGCAAGTACTTAAATGATATTTTTTTTTTATATTGCTGTGCACGACTGACAATTGTTTAATTGTTTTATATTCTGAAGTGGCTACTCAGTTGATTCAATTGTTTGTTCACTAAAAATTGAGAATAATTTATGGTTTTGTGGAATGCTTGTTAATTTATTTCTATTAATTTTAATTGTTGAAATATATGAACTCCTCAACATTTCTGCTACTTGCACTTTGTATGGTAATGTGTATCTTCTTTTGTTTCCGCTTATTCAAAGGCGTTGAAGTGGGCGTTGTGTGTTGTCAGTTGTTTTTTCGAATTTCGCAAACAAATTTTTACGCAAATAAGGATTTTTTTCAATAACTGATAGCGAATAAGCTTCAAAATATTCAGAAATAAAAAGTAAACAGAAAATAAAATAAAATGTATTAAGTTGTGGGATAAAGGTATATTCTGAGAAATCTATACATATAATAAAATTGTAACAGACCGATTAGGGCAAACGGAAGCCTAATCAACAATTTTTAGAATTTTTGTCTGTCTGTATGTTTGTACGCGCATCACTCGATAACTGTTGCATGGAATTGAATGCAGTTTTCACCGGTGTATTGCTAGAGGTCTAACTTATAATACGGAAAAAATAGAGTGTTGCCACCTGTTTAAAAATTGCAGTTTAAGTAAATTGATAGGAAAAAGTAAATATTGCAATATGGCTGCCGAAAGAAAGAGCTTTAAGAAGGTTTACAGCTGAAAATATTTCTTGAGGGTTGCCAACTGCTTTTAAATTTTAATTTAATTTAATTGATACGAAAAATTGAATATTGCAATATGGGTATCAACCTGAAAAGGTTTAGAAGTTTACTGCCAAAGATATTTTTCAAAAGCGCTGCCATCTGTTTGAAAAATTTTAGGGAATTAAATTTACAAAATAAATGAAATATATACTTATAATAAAAATGTAACAGGCCGATATCTTTACATTATAGATATTAAAGAAAAATTAACATGTTAGGTCTTTAGTAGAGCTACATAAACCAAATCAACAATTTTTAGAATTGTTGTCTGTCTGTCTGTCTCGAAAAAGCATCTGTGTACTTTTTTTACTTTGCTCTTTTGTAAATGAAAGCGATCTCTCTGCTAATCATTTTTGGTGATGACGTCCAAATAAGTATTTTCAGTGTTTGAAAACTAAGTAAAATTAAATTTGATTTATCCGTTTTTTCTTAATTTCAAAATCGAAACTCGAAAAACGGTTTTGGAATACTATTGTAAGTATGTAGGTTTGTTTGCGTGAAATCTTGTAATCAATGCCTTGAAATGTCAAGCCTAGCTCACAACTCAAAGACAACGAAAGATGAATTAATGCGCTAGGTGGCGCAGGAGTCGAGATGCATATATGGAAAACCCGTATTTATAGTTCGTGTATATTGCCTAATAATTAAATAAACGAAAAAATTTGCAGGTGTCGAGATATTTGGAAAACCTGTATTTATAGTCCGATTTGGCTCATATTTAAAAAGTTTATTTTGAAAATATTTGTTTTACTTTACTAGCAAATACCCGGCGTGCTTTGTTGCGCCATAAAAAGTGAAAATCCATTTTTTTGTTGTTTGTTATTTGTGATTTTGTGTAATACTACAGTATTATATAATATTTCTAGATTTTTTGCTAGTTGAAGATATTTCTGAATCAAAGATTTCCCAAATACTTTCATTTGATACACATCTTATAATATTTAGTTAATGTTATCAATTAAACTGAATTCAATTTATCAAATAGGTGGCAACCTGCTTCAAAAAAATTTAATTATTTTCAGCAATTAAATTGAATAAAATTTTTCAAACAGGTGGCAGATCTCCTCATAAATATTTTCAGCTGTAAGCCTTTTATTAATATTTTAAGCAATCCATTTTTCTATACCTCTTTAGTTTGATACCCATATTGCAATATTTAATTTATCTTGTCAATGAAATTGAATTAAAAATTGCTTAACAGTTGGCAACCTTCCACAAAAATATTTTCGGATGTAAGCCTTCTTAAACTGCTTTCTTTTGATATCCATTGTCAATTTATTTAAAGTGAAAATTTCAAGCAGGTGGCAACTCTCTATTTTGTTTTTTCTATATTTTAAGTTACACTTCTGTTCTGTCCTTTTTGTATATTCATTTCTTTAATAACTTCGGTCGTATTACCGCTTCACTATTTTCACTAGCTCCCTGAATCTACAGGCCCCCTTCCCTATAGTACAAAAAACTATGTTTATTACTATTGCAAGACTCGATTATAGGTATTTGTAGCTAAAAAAGCTGGATAATGCACGCATAATTATAATCACTTAACTTCAAATTTGTATGCTAATAAACCAAAGTTGTTTTTAAAAAACTGTAAACTCACCCTTCTTTGCCACATTTTTTGATTATATTAAGCAATTGTAAAAGAGTTGTCACGCTAATTTAATTTCTTTTCCAGCATATTTAAAACTCAAAAAAAATATATATTAGCTGAGTGGAAAAGATTTAGAGGTGTGGAGGGAAAGGACTATACAAAAGAAATATTGATAAGATTATAGGTCTTACGTGCCACGGTGATGATGATGCAAAGTCATAGGCGTTGGTGTGAAAATAACTAGTCCCACACAAAGGTAGTTTACATAGATCCATACATACATATGTATCTTACATCATACACATACCCACATACACCAATATACATATGTACATATGTATGTAGATGATTCACTGTACGCTTTTGACTCTGCGCATATTTTACTTCGGGTTGAATCATTCCAAATTTACATATTTATTTGGAAAAAGTTATCTTGAACTTGCTATTTTGTTTTGTTTTGTTTACTTTTCTAAATGTAAGTATTTCTTTTTTGGGTCATTGCATTTGTTGTATGATTAGATAATAAAAAATCATGCTGGGTTGTCGTTGCGGATGCGCATTTGTAACCTTTTTATCATTCGTCGTTTTTGTTTTTTTTTTTTAATTTTGTATTTATAATACTGAGTGTAACTAATCAATGAAACGGATTTTGTAGCAAATAAGCTTACACATGTTTTTATACATTATCTAATTTGAAACTCTTTATTGCAGCGATTAATCAGCGTGTGGCCAATTAGAGTGGAGTAGCGCAGTGATAGAGCAGAAATGAGGAAACCCAAAATGTTTGGTAAATAAATAAATATATATGTATAATAAATAAAGAGGGTTTCTGCCTAAACTTGCTTTATACTTATAAAAAAAAAATAAATAAATTGTAGCTTTACCGTTTTGGCTGCTGTCAATGGCGTTGGTATGCGCCTGCAATGCGCAGGGTGCCTTCGAAGATGCTGAAACATCGAATGATTATATGAGGTGAGAGCTGCACTAAAACAAAATTCGGATTAATTTTTTATATAAGCAACCACTTTGCCAATTAACTAATATATATATATATCTTATTGATTTTCTTTTCAGCGGCAATACACAACAACAATTCGATCTGCGTCACACAATACCAGGCGAGCCTGAAGTCGATTATCCCATCTACAGCGAGGTGCCAAGTACGAGTTTTGAGTGCACAGGAAAGCATGAAGGTTAGTATAAAAAGTGAGTTAAGTCTTTGCAAAAAAAAAGTACAATAAAATTAGTTAGTTGAAACGTCCGTTAAAGATAAAGTAGAGATAAAGTAGTCGATTGCTTTCTTATGAAGGAGCTCTAGATAAAAACCATTTCCCTTCGTTTAGGTTTTTTGTTAAAAAAAAAACCAAGACGCACACTTTCATTTCAACACTGTAAGCATCTAAAGATTATATTAGTGATTACTCAAATTAATTTTTCGGTATTTTAGTCATCACGAAATAAAAGAAGCAGACGAACCCTTTATGGGTTTTGGCCATATACTGAGAAGTACTGGAATAGTTTAACTTCAAAGAGAAATTCGCCATTGCTCATTTCCACTTAGGCTCTGAAGGGTATTTCTGTTAGAAGAATATCAAAAAAAAAAAACCGTTTAAACAGCCATTGCATACCTTACCTCTTTGTTAGATCTATAGTAAATCTGTGGTTACTTCAAAGCTAAACTCTAGCTGGTCGTTTTTTATGGCACGACCATAGTGTTTAATAGTCCATTTCCACCAGCGACTTAAGTGCAGTTAAGTGCTCAGGTAAACTCAAAGAACGTTCACATTGGGTGATCAATAAAGTTTATTTCTTACTTTTTGCTTCCGATTGCTTGTACTTAATAAGAAGAATTACCTTCCAGTTATTATCTCTTTTTCCCAATAGGCATAAACTGCAGTTAAGGCTTGGTGGAAATAAACTATTAATCTCCACTTTCATTCAGTAGTATAAACACTCTTCTTCGAAAATTGATGCCTTTGATTTAATAGCTTCCGCAGAAAATTAATCCCTCAATTTCAATCATGCTTGCATCGACAATAATCGCACTCTTCTTCACTACTATCGAGTCGATCGGCAGATCCATCAGCGCTGTCGTAATTGATGACGACATGGTGTGGTGGTGATGGATAGGACTTCACCTTATGGGGTGGCCCTCCTAACAAATACAATTTTTATATTTTCATTCTCTCCCTCAGGATACTACGCAGACATGGAGACCCGCTGTCAAGTGTTCCGCATTTGTACTCACACCGCACGCAGTATACATGGCTTCGGCTTCTTATGTCCCAACGGCACACTGTTCAGTCAGAAAAATTTCGTTTGCGACTGGTATCGAAACGTCAATTGCGATGAATCCGAACAATACTTTAGCAAAAATAGTGCGAACCGAATCGGCAGCAGTTCTGATATGTTGGAGAGGGTACGTCAAATGATGGAATATCCCATGAAAACGATATCACAAGCACTTCAACAACGGCCAGTCGTGCTACAAACATCGCATCATACGCTCAAGAAACAACTAGAGTTGGCGGAGAGTGGACTGGATGTTAGCGAGAGTGATGCAGTGCAGGAATCTAGACGCGATAGCAGTCAAGGCGCATATTTAGCGCGCAAGCAGCCAGTTACACGCGCGCCTGTCGAGTCTGTCGAGTCTGTCTCACAGAACTACAACGAAAAACAGCAAACACAGTTGGGGGATGTTGTAACTCAACAACGTAAAAGATTGCAGCAGCAACGGCAACAGCAACGCAACGAAACAAAGAGTCAAAACAGCAATAGTGCTGAGCTGGTACGCAGCAAGACGCAAGCGAAGCAGATAACGCAGGTGACTCAAGTGAAGAGCGCCTCAAAGCCGGAAGGCGATGATGTGTACGTGAATAGTTTGGGTGAATTGTCCTCTGATCCGGGTGTGAGTTTCATGCATGACACAGCACATATCATAGCGGAGGCACCGAGTGACGCCAAGAGTTATCAAAAGCAGCAGAATTTTGCCGAAAAAGTAAATGTTGCTTTAAATGATCTCACCGAATTGCCCGCAGATGAAGTTATTGCACCGGACTATGTTAAGAGCTTGCGGCAACCCAACGAAGATCTCGTTTTGGCAGCCAACATAAATAACTTGCTTGAGGAAGTCGCTGATGATTTGGATCCTAGCATTTCTGGTTATCAAGTGCCAGCGCCGTCGAAGAACAAAAGCTCGTTCAGGTTTCTAAGTCGCGGTTTCTCGTCGCAAAGTGACCGTGCTAAACGACCACCATATGAGTATGCGAAGCCGAAACAGACGGCAAGTACGATACGATTTACGGTAAGTGTATTGTTAAAATTAAATTTTGCATGAAAAAGACGGAAATATGCAGGGAATTAGAAATAGCTGCTCGTAAAATACAAAGCCCGATCATGTATCTCGTAACGGACTCTCATTATTTATAACGTGAAATGATATAAAATTGTCGCATAGTTTTAGGCAGTGAATATAAAATAGGTGAATTGAAAATTATAACCTTTATAACCCTTTGTATGTTACATACGTATTTATAAGAGATACAGTGCTATCTTATTAATCCAGACAGTCAGAGTCTTGATTACTAGAGTTTCTGGATTATAGAACTAACACCAAGTGCCTAAAAGCATACTATGTACTTCTGCGTGTGCAAATATGTCCTTCATTAAATTTATGAAGTTTTTGGAAATGCACTTTTCATTTGCCATATAATAAAACACTCTTAAGTTATAATTTGATGGCATTTCGAAGTGCGTTGAGCCTGTTCCAACGTATCCTCAGCTTCATATAGATACCATTATCCACAGTTTCTACTCACATTTTTTACTTAAATAAATAACCGATTCTCGGCCTAGTCTGATACATCCTCCGTACAATGCTTCGGGAGTTATTTTCGGCCTCTATGTTGCTTACAATCATGCAAGGTCGGTAACAGAAAGTTACCATTGGCCCCAGCGCCTACCCACTACTTTTTAGTCCAATAAATGTTTCTTATTACAGTATGAAAATTTATCAATGAATTAACAATCTAGTATTTTACCATGTTTGTTAATATTTAGTATTTTGTGCACTCGTTTTACCATTTAATACTAATATTTTGCTAAAATTATGCTCCAATTCTTATTTTACGTGCAACTATAAAAGCGTCAACTACTGTCGAAATTCGAACGCTTCTCTAGTTTTTTTTTTAAAGGACCCCGAAGAATTTTTATCAAATATAGCACTTCGAATATCAAAATGACTTTAACTACTACAGAAGTAAAGCTTATTTTAATTCAATTCTAGTTCGTGTCATATTGCAGACATTTTTATAAAAATAAATATTAACTTTATTCTTAGGCTTCGTGTCTTTATATTCGTTTTAGTCTTTATTGCATCATGAGCCATACCCACATTATATCATTCCTTCACTGTTTCTACATTCTATTTTTTCTTTCTTGCTCTCGTCTATTTTCCATAATCGCTTCTTACTCTTCACCAACTTCATTACTCTACACTTGAAACACCAACATTGTATTCATCGCTAACGCTATCACCGGCCTCATTTTCCTAAACAACACATGCGCGCGTGCGACTCGGAATTCCGATTAAGTAATTTTGAAGCCGAATGAGCTGCCAATCGATGATACCTACAAAGATACGAAGGAGTTCATAGCTCAAAAACCAAATGCAAAAAATTCAAGCGGTACCGTTTATGAGAGTTCTGATGAGACTATACAATTCACCTTTATGACAACCACTCCTACACCCATCGAGCCGGCCGAAATACGAGTAGAAAACGAAGCAGCTGCTAAACTTGATGCTGATATGGCGGCTGAAATAATTGAACCAGGTCAAGGTTTTAGTAGTGCAAATGATTATGGGACAACTGAAAATCCTACAGCTACCACAACGGCATCTTCGAATGTGAATCCAGAGAGATATTATTTAAATTCTGTTGGCACTGTTCCGCTCAATTTGGATTACGGCTTCCTTAGTCCACCAGAGCCAGAGACTGCGAGCGATGTGGAGACTTCAACTGCTGATGAACCCACTCTATTTGAGTTCAAAGATTTTGATAAAGTCACCAGTCCAACGACAGAAGATTCAGAGCTTATGCTGCACCTTACACAACCGACAAAGGTAACTGACACAACCACAGAGAACTCAATAGTCGGACAAAATGAAGAAAACACTACCGCGGTTGACGTAGAGTCTATTCTTGTGCAGAAAATACTTCTTCCACCTCCGAAACCGGCAACAGAACATAGCAGCACTACTGCAATACCCTCGGAAGAGTATGCGGATATAAAAACTTATCCACCGATATTGGATGAAGAAAAGTTGGATGTGGAAAATCAGGCGGCAAAGCTGTTGTTAGCTGGTGTGAAGTTAACCAAGCATGATAGCAGCAATGCAGAAGAGACTGCTCAACGAGCGAATGGCTCATATAGCGCTGTACTGGACCCAACCTTTGGCGATGGAGGAGCGCTTTTCATATACGTCGATGATGAAACGGTCAGTGCGTATGCTAACGCAACCGACGCCGATGCACAGCAAGCGCTAAGCAGCACAACGACTACAACGACAACAACCACAACCACAACAACCGCACAGCCTTTGACCAGCACCACCGTGTTGGCGAGCATGAGCGAGGGCGGTAGTTTTCAGGAGCGCATACGCAATTATCGTCGTTTTGCTAACAAGCAGCGCACAACCGCTAAACCAATAGTTTATGAGAAGCGCGCAAAGCTAACAACAACAGAAACAACAAAATCGCCCAGCACTAGCGCCACAACAACGCGTAGTTATTTGAAGCGCGTGGCAGCCAGCCGATTGCGCTTGTCGCGACTCGGCGCGGCAAATAATCGCACTGCTGCCACAACAACAACAACAGTTGCGCCTGTTGGTGATGATGACAATAGCAATGACAACAATGATATTGAAACATCGGAAACGAGCAGAAATATCTCAGTGCGTAACACCGACAAAGAATTGGGAGGCGGCGGTAAGCGTTATGACGCGCGCGGCAATTCTTACGACAGGGATAGCGCACGCAAGCGCGGCACTACTACCACCAGCACGACTGGCGGTCCGACTGTGGCGGACGACAGCAGCAATGGTGCGCCAACTAGGGGGAGTGCACGTAATAGTGTAAGACGCTTTAAAGTAAACCGCAAAGCTAGCACTGAGCCAACTACCATCGCCGATAACCAGCGCGCAGTGAGCAAACCAACGCGCAGCATCGCGAAACGTATACGAAATCGTTTTTCCAATTTCAAAACGCAGACTAGTGCTACTAATGCGGTAACAACAAAGAGCGAAACGAGTACAAGTACGACAACATCCACTGCAGCGCCGACAACGCTGCCTGAGCAATCAGCACCGATCGGCGGCGACGCTAACTCACCAAATCCAATGCCGAATCTTGATCATTTGCTAAAATCTATAACTTCCTCTGTTTCCTACTCCACTTCATCAATTAAAAATCAACCACACGCCGAATCACTAAACGCGCCGCCTACGTCGGTCACTTACTCCATGTCCTCATCCTCTACTTCATCTTCATCTTCTGCGCCTAATGCCGCATCCTCTTTCTCCGACTCTCCTTCACTGTCTTCCTCCTCTTCCACTGTCACCACTCAAGATGACTCTACAACTTTTCTCGACTTTGACAAGCTAACACGCGCCATTGTTGATGATTCCGTTTTACAGAATTTCCGCAGTCAACAACAATCTAGTGGACTTTCCACCGCAGTCGCCTACCAGACCGCACCGAGCGCCGCTATGTCGCGCTCACTTTCGGTGGACAGTGATGCGCGTGCCATTGGTAACTCGGTAACGCAGAGTTATAATAAGCTACCGCCGCAAGGTGAGTTTGCGCGCTCATAAGCAAAATGTTTATATGTTTAAAACACACACACTCTACAGCTTGAGCATTTAGCGCATTAGCACATACGAACACATACTCACACCAACATTGCGCTGAAAGAAAACTTTCGTCTTTCAACTATGTACACTCTACCTCTTTGCAGCTCCCGCCCAGCTAACGCCACCGCAGCGTACACAACAATTGTCACAGATAAAAAACGCGCATGTGCCCACTTCGCCAACGCCGCGCATTGTAATCGCGCGCGCGGAAGGTCAACGCATCGCACCGAATTCAGTGTCTTCTATTATTTCGTCGCTGGTGATGCAGCCGACAATCAAGCCAACAACGAATACGGCTTATGTGGCGCTTGATGATTTCCTCACGAAGAAATTCGGACAAACCACTACGAGTTATACGAAAACGAATACAGCAACAAAACTAACAACAAGCGAGCGCAATCGGCACCAAATAGTGCAGCCACCGCAGCAACAATACAACCAAAAATTGCAATCCAACTTCCAAGCTGTCGCAGCGACGGCAACAACGAATCCTGCACAATCACAGATACAACAACAACAAAAGTTACCAGCACAAAAACAGCAATTTAGTCAGCACTTTAGTCAGCAATTTCAGCAAACTCAGCAGCAACAAAAACAACTGCAACAGTTAGCGCAGCAGCAACAACTAGAACAATTACAACAATTGCAGCAACAGCAGCAGAAAATACAGCAGCAACAGCTGATTCAACAACAACAAAAACAGCAGCAGCAGTATGCGCAACAGCAGTTGAAGGAACAGCAATATTTCCAACAGTTCACGATAAATGCGCGACCACAAGTGCAACAGCAGCAACAACAACAAGCGCCTAAGTCGATACAGCAACAATTTGGTGGAAATTCAATTTATGCAGCGCCACAGCAGCAACAACAGCTGGCGTTGCAGCAGCAAAAATCGACATCGTGGCATTATCAACAACAACAGCAGCAAGTGTCGCAGCACAAGCAAAGTCAGCAATATGCACAAGAAAAACAAACACAATCACAACAACAATATCAGCCCCAAAAGTCGACATCCACGCAATTCTATTATCCTCAACAACAGCAGCAACAACAAACATCACCATTTACAAGCAACTTCTTCAGCATCTTCAATCAGCGGCAACAACCACAACTGCCACAATTCCCTCCACTTGGCAATACAGCTGCTAGCGCCACTTTTGAGAGTCCAACTCCAGCACAACAACAATTTCCCAGCGCCATTCTCAGCAATAGTATTGTGCCACCCGAACACGATAAACATGTGAATATTCAATTGCCCGCGCTCACCGTCGGTCTCATACCGGCGCCGACCGCACTAACGCTAACCGCTCAACGACGCATGGATGTGGGCGCGGCTGCGGATGTTGATAGCTCTAGCGCGTCTAAAGAAGCGCTCGGCGACGACGGTGGTGCCTACACCGGCGTCAGTTCTTACGATGTGCCACTGAGCAGCATTGGCCGTCTGCCGAACGATATAACAAATCTGCTGAGACGATTGCGCAAAGTCAAATGATGTTTTGGTTGGAAGGGAAGTGGCTAATAGACGGCGACTAGCGGAAGATGCTCAGGGTAGCTTCAATATTTGCCACAAAATATGCATGTAATTATATTTGTGACGTTCTTTAATTTATAATTTTTGTATTTTTATTATCCTTTTAATTTTGTATGATTTCCATTACTTAGTTCAATACAGCATACAAATTGAAAGACAAAACTGCCATTAATATTAAGATACCTCATTATAACATTTGAACATAAGTGTACCTTTTAAGTGCGAAAAATCGAATGTAGATTTAATATTTATTTTTATTGAAATAAACATAAACATAAAAAATATTTCAGCTTATATTTTATTTGAAATTATTAAGCGACCAATAAAATTAGGCCTTTCTGTTTGGTCTTACAGCTATTTGTTGGTTTGAACCGATATCAGGAAATTATCCTCTAACTGCCCCTTGCAAAGCTCTGCCTCGTATTCACACCAAGAAGAGACAGAATTTATCTAACTTTTTCCTGAAAGGTCTAGACAGCTACAGTCAACCTACGTAATAACGGATAATAAAAGCGAAGAGAGTAAGCTTCAAGAGCTTTTGCGAGAACATAGCGGCAAGCCTGCAAAAGGCCCTAGATGTGCTCTACTCTCAGCACATTTACCGGAATCATCCAACCGGGCTGTGGAGGCAATCGGTCGAATACTTAGACCAATTCATCTGATTGAAGCTTTTCAAGACGTATATATCGACGGCTGAGTGGAAGATCGATCTATCTATCGCAGGAAAGATTTCAATTATGCCCAATTTCAGAAATCTTGTCAAGAACGCTCTATCTCAACATACATACATATTTTCAATATATTTTCAGTTGAGACAGGGGTTTTTGAGCCAAATTCTCAGATAGGGCATTTTTTAAAATTTCTGATTTGGGGCGTTTTTTAGTCAAATTCTGAAATAGGGCATTCTATAACCAAATTCTGAAATAAGGCGCTCTAGAACTGGCTGCCGAGATAGGTCGATCTTCTACTCAGCTGCGATATCTTCTCGCCAGTCAGCAACAAGTGGGCGGTGGGATCATTTGATCGATGGAAGTCTCCAGTAATGTATGGAATTTATCCGGCATTATTGCAACAGTGAGAATATCTTAGTCACCCCACACCTAGTAGAGATAATGAAAGATAGCATTTTTATCCAATATATGTAGGTAAAATTGATGCTTAGCTTAACCTCTTTTGTACTAAGATAGGAAGAAGTGGAAGGCGGAAATGGCTGCCACCTACAACGGCACACTTAGGCTATAGATAGCAGGCCCATTGTGTTACCACAATGTGAACCCAGATGACGCAGCCGACTTCTACACAAAGCAAGGCATTTACACAGGCGATGTATGACTGTTTCGTCCCATTCGTAGTCCTTACAGCTTTGGTTCTGAACGCTCCGCTTATGCAGATCATACTGATTGACCTCATCATTTAATGCAGCCCAACATATAGGAAGATTGGTCTAACGACTCCCATAAGTATCCATCGATAATACGGGTACTGGGACCCCCATATATAGCCTATGGCCCTTTTACAAATATACATATATAGAGAGCAACAGAAGCCTTTTCATAACGCTGAACTATATTCTCCTTCTAGATCAGCTTCTTAACTAAAAAAGCGCCCAGAAATTTGGTTTTTACTGAACTCCCGATGCGTTTGTTGAATCAGCTCACATAGCGTTTGTGTTAACTTTCACCTGAAGGCGATTACAATGTCATAGGCGTATGCAAAGACTCCGCAATCCGTTTCGCACAAAAGTGTGTTGACGGTTAGATTTCACAGATGTGGAGAAAGAACGCCCCTCATCACAAGTTTCGACATTTCGCACGCTCACAGCTTCGCCTTCACTACCCTGCAGCAAAGTAGCTGACCAATAAACTCCACCAATGAGTACGCCACCCCTAGAGCCCTAGCAGCGTCAGTATTCATTTCTGGCATTCCCCGCAAAAAGATCCACGGAAACCGCTCTGTATCAACTAACTATAGAAATCCAAAGTGCGACATTAGCGTAGAACGGCCGAACGATGCCTAATGAATTTCATCAGAGAGGGTTTTGGAGGAGGAAAAGTGACAGCCAGGCCGCCCTCAGGGCTCTTGTTTTTCAATGAAATCAGGTCTGCAATGGTTTTCGAGTGCTTCGACAGACTAAACGCCTTAGCGGCAATAAATAGGGTCTTCCTCCTAAGTTCCGGGCCAGAAGGGCATAGGTACCTAGCCCTTATTTGCGGTTGAACCACCCACTATCAGAGAAGAGCTTAGAGAAGAGGGAACTAGTAGAGAACAGCTCCGCAAGTAGGCTGCGACAGGCAAAGAAGCTATTGGGATGATACAATAACAATATATATGATATGAGAAACTTGTTGACCTACAAAGTACAAACTAAGAATTCTAACAGGTATCTTAACAGGTCATTGCTAATTAAAAAGCCACCTACTTAAACTCGGGATTTCGGGTCTAACGCTGTATGCCGGTTCTCTGATATTGCGGTTAAGAATGCAAGGCCGTGACGAGAAGACGAGAGAAGCACCTCGGCTCCCTAAACCCGCAGCGTAATTACATATACTCGATGTCACCAAACAACATCTGGGACTTCATAAGAAAGTTATGACTGAGCGAAGTGTTGTAAGGATGACAGCGCAATCGTTGTATTTTTTTTGTATTTGATTACGTCATAGTCTGTAAAAATGACTTATAGCTGGCGAACAGTGCCATAAATATTTTGTGAGAGAAAGTTATAGATAATGATTTTTGTTAATCCAGGCAAAGCTCTGCTTTTCAATTGCATGGCGACTCTTAAGTTGCCCTTGGCACCTAGAGGCCTGGGATTTTCGACTTGCGGTATCCATTTTTTACTGCTCATATTATATTGTACCTATGATATATTATATTATATTCTATTATATATTATATTTTATAATAAAGATATCTGAAAACATTGCGAGGAGCGAAAAATTCGAACGATCGCAAATGCTATTGCTGGCCTAATATTAATAAAGGCCATCACGGAATCCATCGCAGAAAATCTACGAATTCGAACGCCTCTTACGAATACGAAAAAATTTCTATCACTGAATCCGTGTGAACTCGAAAATATCGTTGCCAGCTTTGAATGCTGATTCGAAATTAGGTAGTGCAAAGGAAACAATAGACATTTATGTATGCCATTCTGTTTGCACTGCCCCGGCAGTCGCAATAGCCGAGTGAGCAAAGCACTAGACTACCAATTGAGAGATCCGAGTTCGAGGCCGAGTAGTCGGGCAGCGGAGCTTTTTTTCTTTTTTTATTTAACTTTTTTTTCTTTTCTTATTTAATTTTTTTTTTCTTTTCTTATTTAATTTTTTTTCTTTTCTTATTTAATTTTTTCTTTTCTTTTTTTATTTAATTTTTTCTTATCTTATTTCATATTTTTTTATTTAATTTTTTTTAATTTTTTTTTAGTTTATGTTTTATTCTTTTAAAGAGAAAAAAAATTTTTTTATTCATTTTTATGGTATTAAAGTAATTAAGTTTATTTCCTAATAAATTGTTGTTAAACTATTATTTCCTCGCTAGGAAGCTACGATTCTGTGAGCCCTGAATATTTTGTTACAATAACGAAAGACTTAAGCAACAAACTTGCTGAGTATGAAAATCTGTGATGAAAGGGAATAATTAAAGACCGTAGGACCTGGCTTCAATAGGTGATACTATTTTGGCGTGCATTTGGCGAGATACATGTTTCACGTTACCGTTGTTGTAGTGGCCCTTGAGGAAGAAGCCTCTCAAATCATGGCATTTGTGGGGTCTTTGGATGCTGTCGGACGCAACATATGTTTGCAGGTATCTCTTCAGACTACGATGGTTTACAAGGCAGAACAATGTGGGAGGTAGCTCCAACCAAAGTATAGGCTGCACTTGAATGGTGCTGCATTCCGATGTGTATATTCAACTTCGAGGGGAGTAATCATCCAAGGAAAGATTTTGTTTATTTTTCTGGCACGAAAGTCTTACACAAAAATAGCTCCTTGCCAACTTTCACTGCTCCAACAGCCGCAATGGACCAGTGACATTCGAGAGATCTCAAGTTCGAGCCATCGGGCAGCGGAAGTTTTTTTTTAATTTAATTTAATTTTTAAAAAATAATTTTTTAATTTTTTTTTAATTTAATTTTTAGGATTTTTTGTTTTAAAACACAAATATTTTTTTTTTAATTTCATTAAAATTTTAGAAACATTTTGTGTTCTTTTTTACTTTTACGTTACTTTTTTTAAATATCATTTAATATTTAGGAAGTTTTTATTTATTTTTTTTTGTTTATTAATTTTATTTTAAAATTATGTTATTTCAAAAAGAAAAATATTTGTTTTTTATGATATAATTAATAAATTATATATATTTAATTTTTTATATTATTTTTAATTTTTCAATTAAACTTTTTGTTTTTTAGTTTAAGTTTTTGATTTCATTCTTAGAAACTCATTTTATTAATTTTTAGTTTAATTTAATTTTCTCTTAATTTTTTGATTGTGTTATTTAAAAAGAAATATATTTTTTTATTTCCTTTAATATTTAAGAGCTTATTTTATTATATTTTTTTCCTTTTTCTAATTTTAAATTTACTTTTAATCTATAGATTTTATTCTTAAAAAAATAAGATTTTATCTTTTTATTTAATTTTCACTAAGTTATTTAATTTCATTTCTTTTAAAAAAATTATTAGATCACATGGACTATTTTTAAAAGTAAAACTTTTTTTAGTTGCATTTCAATTTTAGGAACTTTTATTTTAATTTTAACTTTATATGGACTATTTAAAAAGAAAAATATTTTCATATTTTATTTAATTTTTAAGAATTTGTTTTACTTTTTTATTTTTTTCTTTTTGTTTTTAATTTGGGTTTTAAGATTTAGTGTTTTAAGAAACAGTTCATTTTTATTTAATTTAATATTTAATAATATTAACTTTAAGATTGTTATTTCAAAAATAAATTTGTTTA